AGTCTCTTCTCGTAAATTACTCATGCGGCTTGAAGAGGTTAACCCGTAGAAGTGCTTGACTCTTTATGGAGACAGTTCTTGTTAAATATATTTCGTGTAGATTGAGAAGGCAACCCTGAAGAAGTGCTAGACTCTCCTGCCAAGGAGTCTATTAATAACTTGTGCGGATTGATGAGGCAAGTCTTGAAAAGGTTCTTGGGTCTCCTGCCGAGGAAGGCTCTTCTTGTAAATAGCTCACACGAGTTGAGGGGGCATGCCGTAAAGAGATTTTCGGCTCTCTAGCTTGCTGTTGTAAATGATTCATGTGGGTTGAGAAGGATGCGAAACAAGTTTTAAATACTTAATGAACTCAAGACATGAAAGTATCAGTCCTTTTTCAATACCTATGATGAGTGGCTTACTTTATATTAATTTAAACTGAAATGAATTGCAAGATTCATATAAGCATTTTTGCATTGAACTCAAGTTTTTAAAAGATTATTCATTTATGTTTTATCCTCAACAAATCTCCTCTAGCGTATGTTGAAGTCATTTTTTCATGAAAATATAATACTTTGTGAGACTCCAATTTATGACTTTTGGTTAGTCGAATATTTAGCATCAATTTACATAATCTAAAGACGAGATTTATTCTCACATCTTGGACTGAAGCTCTCTTAATTTATTCTCCAAACACATTAGGATTTATTTATTCCCGATACTTCAAAAGACGAGAGAGATAAAACTAAACGCGACTGGACAGAGTTTGCTTGTCGCTCAACCAATGTAATACATGGGATCGGGGATTTTGAACGTTCGGCTGCCAGTATTGTTGCCAAGAATATCACTCCATTGGTCTCCAGAATTTCCAAGAATTCTGTATCCTGCATTTACTAGCTCTGTCCTCCTTTTAGATTTATAAGCCAATGCTGTGAGGCCCTTATCAGCATCTTCCCTGCACCCAAAATAATACTCGGTTACGATTTTTTGACACTTTTAAAAATTGACTATATTACTAGAAAAAATGCAGACAGAAAATAGAAAATGTAATTGCAAGTTTACTTGAGAATGAGCTTCTCCCAAGTATGGTAACCAACTGCCTTCAGATTTGCTATCCTGACCTCTCTGAATTGTTCTTTGGTTCCTGATAAGAAGACAATTTTGAACCCGAGACTTAACAATGTTCTATATAGACGAAGCGCTCCTGGAACTGCCGGTGCTTTTCCCTCTGCAACCCACTCGTTGAACTTTGTGTCGTTGTATGGTAATGCCCTGAGATCAAATATATTTTGTTTGTTAGATTTGGAGGAAAATCCAAACATACATTGGGATAATCCCAATTGTCTTACTGATTGAGAATACGCTTTTCAACCTTTTTTGGTCTTTCTCAACGTGGTGTATAACTCGTGTAGTGCTATGATAGAGAAAAGAAGTGCACATACTTGCCAAGAATTAAACTATTAGACGGGATTCTTTTCATTATAGATAGTGCTTAATCCCTAACAAAAGTCAATAATTCGAGTCTTTGACTCATTTATGCAGTTAAAATATTTGTAGTAGTACTTACCCAAATAGTACATCAGATCGAGCATAGTATGGCATATTAGAAAGCGTAGTTTCGTCGATGTCAAAGATCCAAATGTCCTTGCCATCGCCAGCAAGTTTAAGGCTCTTGGCATATTTAATCTCGACATCTGCCACCAATTCGCAGTCATGTCGGTATTGCTTGCCTAGCATGTAGTGACCTATATACTCTTCACAGGACTCTGGCAAAGATCCCCAATTTTGAAGGTTGTTGGTTTCGACCGCCAAACGCCAGCTGAGGCAGTCAACACCCTCAAGCCGGTGGCCAGCGGCACCAGAACGTGGCCGGAGAAGATATATTTGACCCTCTTGAAAAATATGGCAATCTGCATTGCAAGTTGCCAGAATGGTAGCCAGAAAGAAAAATACTGCCAACCTCATGTTTGCAGCTCGTGTGTGTGAAAGTCTAGGCATAAATTGGTAGTTTTTATAAAGTTCTACCACCAAATAGGCCATTCTTTTGCACGAAATTACTTGTGATACCCTTTCTATTGCAACAAAATAAAATAATTTTGTGGACTATCTATGACTGTATAAATTCTCAAAAGTGAAAAAGTAATTAGCAAAAAGGAAACAAGAGGCAAAACACTTTTTCATTGTTTCCATGCAAAAAAACACTTTTTTTAAGCCTCGCCGGGCATGAGGTGGCTCCACCCCTGATCCGTTCATGTGCGAGTGAGATTTAGTCCCTTAACTAAAAACTAAAATTTTAACATATTTTGATAGAAATTGATGAAATATGTAATTTTAAAGTTGAAAAAATTTATAAATCCCAAGAATTACATAATTAAATTAATTATTCATTTTGACTTAATTTTTTTTAATTATTTAAGCTATATCAAACGTGGGGTTAATTTTAGTAAAAATACAACACATCAAGCTATTCTTACTAAGGTAGTGAACATTCACTTTGACTAAACTTATTGATGAGACGACCCTACAAAAAATATACAATATTATGGTCTAGAATTATTACAAGCCTGGTTGAGCAAAAGCTCTCACATGATGTGGGTTCGGAGGACCCACCTCATAAACCACCCCCCCAAATGTTAAACACCCCCCACCCCCTCACATTTGCACTGTCAGGTCTTTTACAGGCCTAGCACTATGGTCTATGCTCCTATTTGGTTTGAATAAAAAATTGATAACAATTTAAGATAAAATTAGTATTTAGTTTTATTTACACACGTTTTAATCAAATATTTTATCAATTTTTATTAAAATTTAGTAAAAAATTAATTTTTATCAAAACGATGAAGGGCGAAATTTGGTATACGTAATATATTTTTCAGTGATTTGACTCGGGAAAAAACAAATAATGGTTGGTCCTTCCTGCAAAAATTGTACACTACAAAGACAACAGAGTGAATAGTCCCACATGGCCTACAACTTTTAGGACCACCCTATCCTAAACGTGAAAGTTTATCCTAGATATTTTGTATGTGCGTTTGATTGTAGCATGAAATTTGTATTGTAAAAAATAAATTTTAGACAATTTAATTATTTGAAAATTATTCATATAAAAATTATTAATTAAGTGTGTTTGATTGATTTAATTTTTAATTTAGAAAATATAATATTTGTTCACTTTTTATTAGTGGGTACACAAGAAAAAGAAAGAAAAAGTGAATTACGTGAAAAATAAAAATTACATATTTCTAAAGAAAATAATTTCTTTGTTTTCAAGAAAAATATGGTTACATGATCAAAAGTAGGAAAATATTTTATTGTGGAAAAAATTATCAATCAAACAATACAACAATAGGAAATTAAGTGAAAAAAATATATTTTTCATGAAAAATATTGATAATCAAACGAGTAGGACTATGATAAATTTTCAGCCATTAATTTTCAGATATTATTGTACCTTATCCATACAGTACACTTTTACACCGTCGGTGCCGAAAATTTTGGACATCCAATCATAATGATTTTTGACCTTTTAACAACGTGCTGATAGTATGGAGTCCATATTTGTTTGTTTTTTCCCATAAAAAATAGATATTTAATGGATTTTTTAATAAAGTTGATAAACTGTGTGCTTGAGAAGTTGATAAAAGTTATAAGTTCTATTAATAAATATGTGACTGAAAATAAAATTGAGAAGAAAAATGAACTTATTTTCGAAGGATGATTTTGTTAGGAAAGTACTATTCAGATTTGAAATTTTACCATTAACACGTAATTCATAAGATGGTGGCCAACGAGGGATTTTAATCTTAGAATTCGACGTTTGACTGATCATCTGATATCACGTGAATCAAATTGCTTGTGAACATATTTGTCCAAAGCCTTCTCATTGTTCAAAAATCAGCTCGAACATTATCCACATAAGTTCAAGAGTCGAAGGTTAGAAATAAAATTTTGGCATGTAAAAACAGCATCTTATGTTATTTTTATGGTTTTTTAATTTTCGATTTGATATATAAATGGACACATTTTCTTACAGCTTTCCGATGATTTTTAGTTAAACCATAAATTTATTTGAACATTATTACAGATATTCAACCATATTTTTTTAACTAAAAGAAATACATGCATTTAAATTTGAAAAAAAAAATCTTAATAAAAAAAGGAAAAGGGAAACTATTATGTTTAAATTCATATATACTCATACAAATTAATCAACTTAATTGTTGATTTAATTGAGAGATTATAAGAAAAAAAAGTTTAAAATCATATTCAAATTAGATTTTACAATTAAAATTGGTTCTCAGTTCTAACAGTCGCAACCAATGAAATTATAAATATAATCAAATTGAACAGGCCAAATCAATATAAACACGTAACAACTTGAAATATGGAATTCCACAATTCAATCAAATTCTCCAATACTTAGCTTATACTAAAAAATATTTGTTTTATTATTTTTTGCTGTCATCTCTCGGTAAAACTGAGAACAGAATGTCAAAGAATATTAAATTAAACTATTTGTACACACAAAGTGTATACCTTGGTTAATACCTTTCTATGTGTTAAAAATCTGATAGTTATTGGAAAAAATGTCATCAAAATCAATGTATCAAAATCTGTCAACTCACATAGGTATAAACCAATGTGTCTAACTTTATGTATATGTAGCATGGTTCAAGAATATTTAAATTATTCGAATGGAAACCTCATGACATTAATATCGCCATGTGAACTACAGTACAACCGTTTCTAAGTTCACTTTCATTGCGTATCATAACTTCCCAAAATTCCATTTTCTTACCACCTTAGCTTTGTTGGAAAATACTGCAAGAAGCATATCGTATTATGTTAAAATTTCGTTCATTATATCATCTACTCATATTCAGTAGTGGAATTAGCAGTGTGTTGAATACTTGAACGTCTATGTTGAAACTTGATCTCACCTTTTTTTGTTAAGTTTCATATGGAATGAAGTAATTCTCATTAATTCAATATAGAATACAATAGTGTATTAATACATGTGAAATCTGCTATGTAAGGAAATAAAACTAATATAGGACAAAATATTCTATTAAGGAAATAATCTAGAAATAATTGCTATGATGGAAATTAAAATTACGGTTAATACTCCCCCTCAAGTTGGAGCATAAATGTCTATAATGCCCAACTTCCGAGTGAAATGGTGAAAGGTCACGTCCAAGAGCCTTAGTGAAGATATCTGCCAGTTGTAGTTCAGTAGAGACGTGAGTAGGAAGGATGAGCCCAGAGAGAAATTTCTCGCGCACAAAATGACAATCTACTTCAATATGTTTGGTGTGCTCATGAAAAACAAGATTGGGGGTGATGTGGAGAGCGGCTTCATTATCACAGTAGAGCCAAGTTTGTTGTGGATGGACAACAACAAAATCACGCAAAAGAGATTTGAGCCAAACAAGTTCACAAGTTGCCATTGCCATAGCACGGTACTCAGCTTCAACAGAGGACCGTAAAACAGCTGTTTGTTTCTTCGTACGCCAAGAAATGGGACTAGTCCTAAGTGACAAAAAACCTGTTGTGGAACGACGAGTGGTAGGGCAGCTAGCCCAATCAGAATCAGAGTATGCAGAGAGCCTGAGATCCTTTCAAATAACGGAGAATGTGAAGCACAGCTCGGTGATGTGAGTCTCGAGGATTTTGTATGAACTGGCTCAGCATATGTACAGAGAAGGAGATGTCTGGACGAGTAATAGTGTGATATAGAAGTCGACCCACTAGCCGTCTGTATGCACTAGGATCAGAAAAGAGAGTACCATCGTCAGGAATAAGCTTCAAATGATGATCAATGGGAAAGAGGCAGGTCGGGAACCCAAATTATCGGAGTTGGCAAGTAAGTCAAGATTATACTTTCTATGATAATGAAAATTCCAAGCGATGATCGGGCTATTTCAAGACCAAGAAAATACTTCAAGGGGCCTAAATCCTCGATCTTGAACCTATCATCAAGTGACGTTTTGAGAGTGGTGATGTCATCAACATATAATAGAATAGTAGTGAAAGAAGAGCCAATGGTTCGAGTAAAAAGTGAGTGATCAGCCTAGACTGAGCAAAACCATATGATAACAAGACAGAGGACAGTTTGGAGTATCAATTACGAGAAGCCTGCTTAAGACCATAGAGAGATTTAAGTAGACGACAAACACGAGTCTCCTCTTCTCGACTGCATCTGGGAGGAAGCATCATATAGACCTCCTCCTGTAAATCTCCGTGAAGGAATGCATTATTAACATCAAGTTGATGGAGATGCCAATGATGGGCTGCTGCAATTGCCAGAACACAGCGGACAATGACAAGTTTAGCTACAGGAGCGAAAGTGTCATGATAATCAAGGCCCTCAACCTGAGTATAACCCTGGACACTAATCAAGCTTTATACCTTTCAATAGAACCATCTGCATGAAGTTTATATTTGAAGATACACTTGCAACCGATGGGTTTCTTTCCTGGAGGAAGAGATGTAAGAAGCCAAGTAATATTGGATTCAAGTGCCCGAATCTCAGACTGCATAGCATCACGCCAGTGGGAATATTTAACAGCTTGGGAATATCGAGTAGGGTCAGAAGAGTGTGATAATCAGATAAAAAAGCAAAATGTTTCGCAGAGAAATTACGATATGAGACAAACCGTGAAATAGGATAAGACGTACCTGAAGATCTGACTGGAGCGGGGCAAGTCGTAATGGATGAGGTGGATGGTAAGGTAGGACATACGTAATCAGCAAGGTGAGCAGAACGGTGTATAGTACGACGAAAGTGAGTGGGAAGGGGCACAAGAAAGGGTTTTGGAAGAGGAGATAAAGCGGTTGGCGAAATAAAAGTGTCAGAAGCAAAAACGGGAGGGTCAAGAACGGGAAGAGGTAAGACAAGGGGGGAGGTAGCAGGTGGAGGTAAAAGTTGGAAAGGAAAAATATGTTCGAGAAAGGTAATGTCCCTAGAGAAGATAACCCGTTTTTGGCCTAAGTCAATAACCTGATATGAACGATGAGTGGATGGGTAACCTAAAAAAACACATGGACGAGCACGAGGTTGAAACTTGTCACGATGAGCAGAAATAGTGTGAGTATAGCAAATACAACCAAATATGCGTAAATGATCATATCGAGGCGATTCTTTGTAAAGGCGCTCAAAAGGAGAAATATTGTTTAGGGAAGGGGACGGGGTGCGGTTGATTAGATAAGTAGCAATAAGTACACATTCTCCCCAAAAGGTAAAGTGGAGATGAGCCTAAAAACATAAGCATCAAGTCACATTTAAAATATGACGATGTTATCGTTCAATAACACCATTTTGTTGAGGTATCTCCACGCAAGTGCTTTCGTAAAGAGTGCCTTTCTCATAAAAAAAGTTTGTGAGGAGCAAGCAAGAAATTCTTAACCATTATCAGTGCGTATGTGACGAATCTTGGAATTGAATTGAGTGTGAATCATGGAAAAAAAATTGCACAGACAAAATAATGTTTCGGATTTAAAATGCATTAAATACAGCCATGTGAACCAGGTGTATTCATCAACTATGATTAAGAAATAATGTGCACCAGAGAGAAAAGCGGTATCATAATCACCCCAAATATCACAAAAAATACATTCAAAAGGCACCAAACTATTATTTCCAACTAATTGAAAAGGTAATCGGGTGTGTTTTCCACGATTACATGCATCACAATGTTCAACAATTTTAGGACGAGTAATAAAATGTGAAATATGATGTAAAGAGAGGTGAACCAATCGTTAATGCCATGTATCAAAGAAATGCGAGTGGATAATTGGAGTGCGGTTGCTGAAGTTGGCTTGAAATATACAGTCCCTTACTCTCATCACCCGTGCCAATCAGCATCTTCGTGGTGAGGTCCTGAAAAGTGAAAAAAGTGGGAAAAAAGAAATGATAGAATTGAATGATTTTGTTAGTTGACAGATCGGTAACAAATTAATTTTAAAATCGGGAATTGACAAAACATTAGAAAGTGAGAGACGAGGTGATAAAGTAATATCACCCGTACCGGAAACAGGAGCCTGTGAACCTGTGGGAAGACAAACAAAAGACAGGTTAGTGCAATTATAAGAATTAGGGAGGGGTAAATTGGTAATATGGTGTGTGGCACCACTATCTACTACCCATAGTTCTCGATCAAAAGGAGAAGAAAAGGCTGAAGCTGTGAAGAAAGGCTTGGATTCTTGAGGAGTTCCATCAATTGGGTATATTGATTGGTGGAGAGTCCAGGGATTCCACTCATGGTTGAAGGTGCACTGGTAGTCGACACTTGTTAAGCAGTCGGGGAGGATAAAACCGAGGTACAACGTTTATTCTTGGACGGCCACCACTCCGGGTATCCAATAATTTCAAAAAATTTATTTCTTTGGTGACCCGGTTTACCACAAGCTTTACATAGATGAGTCCCAGTAGGCCAAACACGACGGGGGCGAGATGAAGTGTTAGGCAGCGTGGAGCTGGCGGTTATGGTTGAAGCATCCGATTGAGATAGAATTAGTTGAACCAGACGCTGCGTTTCTTCTTGATGGAGGATGGAATAGCATCCAATGGAGGAAAGTGGGTCTGTAGCCAAATTTTGGGAACGAAGCTGTTGAAAACATTCATTTAGGCCCATGAGGAATTGGTAAACCCGGTCAGTATCTTGAAGTTCAACAAGAAATTTTGAACAAAGCATGTACATGGATTCGTGGGTTGTAAGGAGGCTAATTCATTCCACAATTCCTTTAATTTTCCATAGTACACTGTGATAGATTGTTGTTCTTGGTGAAACTTGGCTAAATCTCATTTTAATTGGAAGATTTTGGTACGGTTACTTTGTTGAAAACGTGTTTCTAGCTCCACCCACAAGTCATTCGGTGTGGTACAGTAGAGGAGGCTGCCTGTAAGCGACCGATCAATTGAATGTAGAAGCCATGACATTATCATGTCACAGCAACGGTCCCAAAGTAGTGCTACAGCGGTGTCATCAGTAGGGCATTTGATGGTGCCGAGAACAAAGCCTAATTTGTTCTTGGCATTCAATGCAAGAGTGATTGCTCGGCGCCAGGCCGGATAGTTGTCGCCATTAAGAGCGGATAGTTGTCGCCATTAAGAGGTGTATCAACAAGAATTTGGTTAGGTTGATCGGATATCAACAAGAATTTGGTTAGTTTGATCGGATGAGTGTAGGAAGTATGGGGATGAAGCATCTGTAAGGAATTTGTTTGCATCCAAGACAGGAACAAGAGCAGAATCAGCCATGGTAGGAACCAAGGTATGTAAGACGAAACCTAATGCTCTGATACCATGTTAAGTTTCGTATGGAATGAAGTAATTCTCATTAATTCAATATACAATACATGGTGTATTAATACATGTGAAATCTTCTATGTAAGGAAATAAAACTAATCTAGGACAAAATATTCTATTAAGGAAATAATCTAGAAATAATTGCTATGATGGAAACTAAAATTACGGTTAATGTTTTTCAATGAGAGAGAGGTAATATGGCTTGACTTTCTCGACATCGACTTTGACCTTACTTATGTAGATAATACTTGCTATAAGGGAAGAAAAAGAAGAAGAAAAAAATGAGGCCTATGACAAGCGCTTATATGAATTATCGTTGTTTTCTTCTTCATATAAATACGGATTATCTTACTTAAAGATTTGTAGCAATTCCAAATTATCCTCGTCTTCCTTGTTCATAAAGTGTTTGTATGCTTCTGACCTATGCATAAGCTGCATGACAAAATCATTCTATGATTATGATGCTTTATGTATCGACTGGTATCCCTCTGAATCATTGAGGTGGGTTGCATAATTACTTTTTTTCCGTTCAATTTACTTACCATAGAAGGAGTGGAATCTGATAATGAAAAGATCAGCTGAGGCTAAGGTAATTTTATTTTCTTTCGCCACCTGAAAGAGAGTTTACAAATTCCTCGTTAAAAAGCCGTGCTTTTGTTGTTTCATTAAGGGATATACAATGTCAAGATTGTCCAAGTAATACTTGACAAGCTGTACATTCCAACTTAGCAAAGATACAGTCGAGAGTTTGAACAACTAAGTACCATATAAATGTAGTCATCATGCGCCCATGACATTAAAACATTCTCAAGTCCACAGCCTTCACTGTAAACTCCATTTCTGGTATTGTACTTGGGATCATTGATGTCGGGTTTTGTCTTTGAAATACTACAATAATAAGCATAAACACATTCAGAATTCTTGAGAAACGGGATTAAAGTTAGGCGGAAAAATATATAGGCAAAAGATTATTCGTGCCAAAATCAATTTGTCATCGAAAGCACATCCAGCAGGGAAGGTGTCACCTATAATTATGTATTCATGTTGATACTTAGCAATTGAGTGTTCAAAAAGAACTGTTTTTGTACTAATTTTCAGTTAAATTGCAATAGCTGTAGTTCTTACCAACAACAGCCCGCTGAGGCAGCTTGCTGAATTTTGGATGAAGAAGGATCTTCCCAAGATCTAAAACCAGAACAAATTCAAATTAATTTACCATTATTAAACTCAAAAAAGTCTTTTATTCCTAATACAGAGCGGGGGTAAATCGGGATGAAAGAAACATTATAAATGAGGGGTGAAAATTTTAACCGGGACTGCCTCTCTCAAACAGGAACCAAGGTTCCAGTCTAGTTCCAAAAACAAATAAATAAATAAATAAATAGAGAAGAAGAAGAAGAAAAGAAGAATCAGAATCGATAACCGACAGAGTCCAAGACAGTTCGTGGTTCTTGAAATGGAACTATGGGTACCAAACTCTAGAACCATATTTATTATTTTTTTTGTAAGTTTTTGATTTTTACAATTTAGTCGCCCTTATCCAATAGGGTGATGCTACAAGTAGAGGAATTTACTCACAGGCAACACACAGCTGAGGTGGGTGGGGTGGAATTTTGCCAATTTTTTATTCACATGGGGCCCATCCCCATGTGAGAGAAAATCAAAATCCTGTGAAATATATTTTGTACTCCCAGTTTTATCCTATCCAATAAGCCATCCAACAAGTAGCAACTTTGCAGATCTCAAATAGTAAGTACCCTATTCAATCACATTCATTCATTTGAATAATTGAATCAGATCACTCTCGTTCGTAGCCGCTCACTTTACACATTGCCCACCCCACAAATCCCTTTTGAGGTGTTGCTTGCAGATCTACAATCAGAATTTCATGTTATTATGCTAGATATTTGATGTTATTTGGTGGCATATTTGCAATTGATTAAGAAATGTTGAAATACATATTTGATGACATTTTATTTCATCTATTTCTGCAAGATATTGGAAACATAATTTGTTTGCTCATAGTTATTTTATTTTATTTTTCAAAGTGTTAAGGATAGAATCAAACCTAAACACACTGTTCGAGTTAGAATTTGGGTTCGGTTCCCGAAATTAAGTGGACATGAATGATTACATTTACGAAATATTCAAAGTGTAATGAGTGGTTTCGGGTATTGAATTACGCCAACCAACACCTAGGCCCTTAAACGAATTTTTTTTACAGTTGATGAAAAAATACCTGGAGTCTTTCCCATGGAATTAGAAAGTCTAATGGTAGCATATTTAGGATGAAGAACAGGGGAGTAGTGTACCATGGATAGGGGAGTCAAGTGCAGCCAATCTTCCTCAGGATGGTCTCTTCTCATGGCTTCAGCTGTCTGCAATAAGTGCTGTATTCGAGGCTCATCCAAGGCAGGATCACTTTCATCCACAATATTGTAGCGAAGTTCACAGCATTCCCATATGCCCATTTCCTCCTTGTCAAATTTTCCATACTCTACTCTCATATTCCTCACCTGCAAATCGCAAAATCCGAATATTGCAAAAACATAAAAATTAAATGAACGAAAATGATTTTTTATTAAATAGTCACTTACGAAGTCATAAGTTTGACAAATATGATTATTCTTGTAGAATTTTTCCACCCCTTCTTGCCTTTCACTTTCGACATTATAATCCGTTTCACATTGCTTCAGAAACATTACTAAATAACTAGATAGTACTCGACGCGATTATGGTAGAAAAAGCGGTAAAATTTTGTTTATTGTAATGTAATGTACAGTACAGTGTGTCGAACACGCATTTTTAAGTGATTAGGAAAGGAAAAGGACTAAAGGTGTGGCCAAATGCATTGGCATTGGGGACTTAAAATCTTCCAGCCAACACCAAATCCATTTCTTCTACCTTCTTCTTATCGACTTCAACGTCCATCTATCCAAACCAAAAAGGGACATAATATACAATTTATGAATGGGAGATGCTACAAGTACATAAAGTGTACACCCCTCACATTTATGATTTATTATGTACGGCCCCCTCAATGTGAGGGGCAGTAAATCTGGGTGTAGGATGTGCAAGTATCGTTTTCCTATATATATATAGAGTTCATACGTAAAAATGCAATTTTTTTGAAAAAATATTACCAAGCTTAGGCTGATCAATGAGGATCGTCATCTTGAATGAAAATACAAGTTGTGTCAAAATCAAGGAGAGGAAAATAAATCTTGATTTTCAGAAAAGAATATGAAAATTTTAGGATGTATTGTGGATTTGAAAAAGTCAGTATTTATAGACTGCTAGAGAGTGCTTACCGGAGTTGAAAATTCAACCCTGGTAAGCATCGAAATTCCGTTACTACATATCTATATTTGGTGGTGGAAATATTTTGTTTAATTGGATGTACTTGAGTAGATAAAAATAGGTGTTAATAATCAATCAAAAAACTTGTCTTAAAAAAATTACTTATATTTTTTTGGGTAAAAATAAAACATATGATATAAATATTTGGAGAGCAATACCTTAAAAGCTAATGGTTGAAGTTGGAGAACACAAGTCTATATAAATCACACAAAGAAAATTCATACGTTCGATGTGAAATTCAAGTCTCATACCTTGTAATAGGAATCAAGACAATCTACTAAGCTTCACGATTCTGGGTCCACATCAGACGGCTTTGCATTAGTCCATGACTAGTCCTGGACAAACACTGCTGCGTCGGCGTTACCATCCGGACTGCTCGATTACAATCGGGAGACATGGTGGCTGCTTTGATACTATTGATATAGATCTTGAAAGAGCCATAATTCAAAAGCTAGCTGCTGAATTTGAAAAGTCCATTCAATATAAACCGCATCGAAAGTTCATACGTTCGATGTGAAATTTGATTCACATATCTTGCAATGGAAACCATGAAAAACTCACCTTTACCATTTCAAATCATCACCACATCCATGTGTTTGTACAATTTTCGAACTAGAATTCTTCAATTGCAACATTGCACCACCATCCGACAAAAACCAAAGCCACCATATGTAAAAACATTGAATTACAGTGATCATCAACACTTGTGTTTCTATTTCAAGGCTAAGCAATTTTTCATCAAACGATATTCTCGGAATAATTGCTTCACTTGCATTGATTAATACATCTACCAGGAAAGTCTTTAGAAACTTCAAAGCTTTGTTTGGAATTTTTGTTAAACCCCAAAAGTATCAATACCAAAAGGAATGTGAGTTGAAGAAAAAAATTTGTATAAAATGTACTCATAAATAATTTTTATTCTATTCATATTTTCTAATTTTATAAATTGATTTTTTCCAAAAATTGAGATATGATCTCCAACTTGAATAATGATATTTATCATTATGATAATAGAACATCAGTGATGTGACGTTCTACGTGGAGTAATGAGATTGGACAGTTCAATATTTAAGAAAGAGATGGAGAGGAGAGAGAGAAATGTAAGGGATAATATGTTACCTCGTTACCGATATTCCATTATTATAATGATAAATAATATTACTCCTCCAACTTACTGTGTTTATTGCAACTTGATCTCCCATCAATATTTTTAAAGACCATGGAAGGTCCTTAATACGATACAACTTTTTATAGTCATAATATTGTTGGGACCACAGCGAAAATCACAATAAACGAGAACTCGTACATGACTTGGTCCGACTTAGTTATGCTTGAATAGGATCGGGTTGCATCCATGTCAAGCCACAGACCTGGATAGTGCAATCCAATTTGACACCATCAATTCAAGTACAACATATATCACACAAAAAATAAATAAAATTTGAATCTTCTCTACAATTCAATATTCATACCTCGTGTATATAATTTTATGCAATTAGATAATATCTTATTCAATTAACACACTTGCGAGAACGGGAGCTGGGTTGGCTCTGTAATTGTTGAGAGCATTCATGTAGGACTCTAATGTCAATTGTACATGGAAGTGCATAAAAATTAAAAGAAATATATCAATTACTTTATAATAATAAATGGTTTGACCTTAACACTACCAAATTATTTAACAAAAAGGCATTTCTTCCTTGTTTGGTAGAATTTTTTGATAATAGATTATATGAAGTGATTATTTTAAAGAATGCATTATTAAATTGATTTTAAAAAAATAAAAAATTAGAAAGTGGAGTTCAACCAATGCCTTCATGTCTTCATTGTGGTGTGCTTGTAATGTTGATCATGTATACTTAGAAAGGGTAAAAGGAGGAAGAACCCTTCCTTTCAGGAAACCTGTCAGGCTGTCACCATAGCCCTCAATTCCAGAGCATTCCTCCACAAACAAAATCTAATGTAAATATTCAAACTTCCATTTTTCTTTCACCAAACAATCCAACAGAATTTTTCCCTGCAGAAAACCCAATCTGTTTCATGTCCAATATCTTATCCTTGCGATATTAGACATATATTGATTCAACCATTGTTGTGGATCCTGAATTGATGAATTCTGAGAGGACCCTTTTGTTTGGTGGATTGGAATAGCGAAAAAGATTTCATGATCACGAATTTTTTGGGAAAAAGATTTAGTATATCTATGGTGTTCGTAGAATGTCCTCATAGAAGAATAGTGTGTATATTTTAGCGTTGCTTGCTTTGCCTTCTATATTCTCCTGATTGCAGCCAAAGAGAATTCGTGAACACGAATCTATTAGGAAAAATATGTAGTATATCGATGGTGTTTGTTGAATGTCTGGAAAGAGGAATATTGTGTACATGTTGGTTTTCTTCGCTTTGTCTTCTGTATTCTCCTGCTGCAATTGGATTGGCAGCCAAAGAAAATCTAGTTAATTCTTGTTTCGTTCATTGAGGTCGTTCCTTAACGTTTGACCTTTAGCGACATAATTTCATCTCTCTTTGATTGGAAGAGGTAAGGATTACAAGAATGGCTTATCGTATAAACACGAGGGCTTATTCATTATCCTCTTCCGAACCTCCTCTGGCTCAGAAATTAACAAATGATCCCGTCACTCAGAAAACTGCGCGCAGCACTGTTACTAGTTTTTACCAGACACATATTGGAGGTTACTGGAGAAATGTGACCGTATTATGGAGCAAGGATTTGTCGAGTCATTCTCTGAGTATATCTGTTGCAACCATGGAAAGTGAAGATCATCAGACATGCAAAATTGACGTTAGACCTTGGCAGTTTTGGGCAAAGAAAGGGTACAAAACCTTTCAGGTTGATGGGAATCAATTGGATGTCTATTGGGATTTTCGTTCAGCAAAATTTTCGAGTAGTCCAGAACCCTGTTCAGATTTCTACGTTGCATTAGTTTCTGGTGAAGAAATGGCATTATTGTTAGGGGATTACACCGAAAAGGCCTGTAAGAGAACAAAATCAAAAGCAGCCCTGGTTGATGCAATGCTGTTTTACAAAGAAGAGCACGTATTTGGGAAGAAATCTTTCTCCACAAGGACAAAATTCGACTGCAGGAAAAAGGAGCACGACATTGTTGTAGAGAGCTCGACTTCAGGGACTAGAGAACCCGAAATGTGGATTAGCATAGATGGGATTGTGTTGATACATATTCGAAACCTGCAGTGGAAATTCAGGGGGAATCAGACAATCTTAGTTAATAAGCAACCCGTTCAAGTCTTTTGGGACGTATATGCTTGGCTATTTTGCATACCGGGCTCAAACCATGCGTTGTTTATCTTCAAGCCAGGTGCACCGGAGGTGGATAGTGACAAAGATGAAAGCTGCAGCCATGGCGATGGAAGTGATTGCAGTGGGGATAGCAAGTATTATTCGACGATAAGCTATTCACAGGCTTCAAGGTTCTGTCTTTTCCTCTATGCATGGAAGATTGAGTGAGAGATCGTGTCTATAAACTCAGAAGAGTTCGTAGCTCTTCAAGTATTCATTGGAGTAAATTTTGTGACGATAAAACTTCCAAATTCTTGTTGATTATACAATCATGCTGTGAAAATTAATTTCTCCCAGAAATGTTGATTTTGTTTTCTGCAATTTGGTTCTTATTGATCTGCATTTACGGAAATCCTGAAAAGGGAAACGAACACAACTTACAAATTCTCAAATGTTTTACCACAGATATCATGCTCTGATGAATATAGATTTCTTAAATGTTCTGTTTTCTTTTATCATGTGTTCTTGGTGTTTCTATCAGTGGTTTGTGGCATTTACTATTTTTGCAATTTTCTCGAGATTGGACATGGTTGAGTCTGGCTCCGGCTTGCCACAAAACCCGGGTCAAGCCAACCCAATCTGATAAACATCACTACAAGTGAAGCGTGAGCATATCATCTAGTTAGGTTATTTATCCAAATACATGTCAAAAGCGTTATACATGCGAATGATAATGAATGACTTCTTAGCAGAATACCATCACGGCATCGCCTATACTTAATGGGTCCCGGCAAGTGGAGGGTTCGAAGAACAAGGGAAATTTAAGACTGGAAAACCCAACCTTTCATGAGGTGTGGAATTAGCTCCCAAACCTTCAAAATTGAGGTTTTAACTCCTATTCTATTCAATCTTGTGATTTTGTCAAAGTTAGGTAATTTTTTATTTTTTATTTTAAATTTTTCATTGAAAAAAGATCATTTACTATTTACCGTATAACATAACATTGATGTTGAAGGTGAATTTAGATTCAATAAGAAAATATATGATAAATGATATTCTTTTAATTTTTCATTTGAAGAATTTTTTTCCCTGGGGAATTCTATTTTGAATATTATTTACCTTATGCAGTCATTTTTAAACAGTCTATTCAGTGCATATTTTGAAATCTACTTTGAATACACGCTTGGTAAATTGTATGTTTTTAGTTAACTTTTTAAGCAGACAGATGCTTTATGGTGCATAATTGCAAAGGTTCAACTAGACAACAAACAAATCATTAATTTATCTTCCCAGGTTGTTCTACCAAGTGCCAACACCTGCGAGTGAGTGGGCACACACTCAATTCTCTCTCGAATTATGCTATTTTATGTACAAATTGAATGATATCTGAATATGTGGCAAAATTGAGATCATTAATTATTTTAAGTGTTGAAGAAATTAATGATAAAATTGTGTATCACATGAGTGAGGATGCACAAAACAACTCGCGAATGCTGCATTTTGAACAAAGGAGATCCCATTAAAACGTTCTCAATTCGAGCACCATTTTCACGTCTTGGGCTGAAAATCAAGCACCCAATTTTTGTGAAAGACCACCCTTAAATCAGTTTTACTGTCTAAATCTTAACGTTTCTGATTTCTTCACGAATCATATATTTGATTCATTGAATAGCCCACGTAATGACAAATATAAAATTACACTCTTTCTTTAATTCTCAGATATCTCTCTCCCATCCATGACACCTGGTTTTTTTTTTCCTCTATTTTTTTCCCGATAGAATAGCTGCAGAATCTTGGCTTCGATATATATATTTTTTTTTCTATTTAACACTTTTGCTTTGTTGAATTCTGCGTCAAGAGTTCAAGCTTGGAGTTACCCTAATTGGTAAGGAGCAGTACTGCATTACTTGTTTCAATTTTTGGTTCATATTTTTCTTTGTTAGAGAAGCTTTCTTTACTGGTTTTCTTGAAAACCGATGTGAAAGAAAATCGAGATTTTATTTATTTATTTATTTTATCAATTTTTAATTTTACATCATAGACCAATGTGGTGATGTTATTCTTAGAATTGTTATTTAGAAAAGCTTGAGATTCCAAAAATCTGACGTTTTTCGAAATTTCGTGGATTCAGGAATAGTTTTGAGAACAATGATAAGAGGAAAAAATAACAAGAACCACCCAGTAATTAAGAATTAATGGGGGTTTAATTAAAGATGCAATCCAGAGTAGGGAGTTCTGGTTATCCACAGGGTGGCAAAGAACCTTATACCTGAACCACAAATCAATCCAGTAGGCCTTTGCCACAGAGAGTGCTTTCTATTGCTTTTCTCGGGAGCAGGCATTGTGTTTTCATTTCTCAGCTTATATACGAGTCGGTTTCTCAGGATCCAGAATATAGTTCCAGTGGTTCAATCAAGAATTCAGCATTGTTTTCAAGAACCTAGTACTCTGGAAAAATGAATTAGGCCTCCATCGAATTTGATTAATACTATGAATGATTCTGAGCTGTTTTGGCGCGCCTCATTTGTACCTAGAATTAAAGAGTACCCCTTTAAGGGAACTCCCAAGATTGCATTCATGTTCTTGACAAGAGGACATTACCAATGGTGCCTTTGTGGGATAAGTTTTTTAAGGGGAATGAGAAGCTTTGTTCGATCTACATTCATTCGTTGCCATCCTATCAGCCAGATTTCCGGACTACGTCGGCTTTCTATGGCAGACAAATTCGTAGTCAGGTATAGAGTTTTAACATTTTTCCTGCTCTGTTTAGTGTTGCTATATGTTTATTCTCGAGTTTGTTTATTTGTTGACTAAATATTTTCTTGATCGAAATTTCTTTATCTAATTTTCTTATTAAGCCCCCGGTTCTCTCCCTTTAAAACAGAACTTTTTAATTCTCATACCCATCTTTAACCACACATTTACACAATCGAACAATCGAATAATTTACACGTAAACCCGAAACTTTTCCCTACTTTTTAACCGCACATTCTCCAAAAAAATCACTATTTAAAACTTCATTTTTTCAAAATAATGGCCAGGGCTAACTTGTGCTTTGAACTGAATCACTGGTGAGTGCAAGAAATGTATGCTGGTTCTTAAGCCAATAACTCAGTTTAGTTAGCAATAATGTCGCGTCTTAGGTTCCTCGCTCTAATGGCTAGGTTTTATTATCATACTAATAGAAATATAATTTTCCAAGAGTAAAAAGAAAATCGGAAGGGTTGTATTGATGGTTCTTTAGGTGTTTCAATGCGAAACAGACATTCCTTCGAAGATGTAGGGTGTGTCTGGAGGAAATTAGTATCAATTTTGTGACCGTTGCACACCCACTTGCAGCCGAAGATTTTGACCAGCTATCTCACAAGTGGGTCCCAGTTTTCCTCCAAACGGTTAAAAAATTGCCATTACAACGGTCAGAATTCTGCTGTTGTTAATTTCCTCCAGACACACCCGTAATTGATTGGCGAAATGTTCTGTTGTATGGCTAACCCTTCTCATGATAGAAAACAATATCAGCACTAGCTATATGTGCCTCTAGCAATCGATGTGTGATAAGTTATATGTTGCTCTAGTGATTCTCTTAAAAACATATATAAGGAGAAAGTGTTTTTCACTTGCCTCTCTTCGTTTTATTTTCTTTTTTCTTACCTTCGTTCTTTCCTTTTTCCTAGAATTTAATTACGCCTCTGTGAATTAAATATTTTCTTTGTCTAAACAACCATTTACATATACTAACGCTCATACATGGTTCACGTGCCTAATAGATTATGTGATTACATCTGTGTTCAAACTTCAAATCAAAGAAAATTGTGTGTAAAAAATCTGCATGTCACAATCTGTATATGGTTACCCATGTAATTGGTTTGAACCAATTTAAATATTGTTTACAACAAGTGCATCTTAATTTTAAGAAATTAGATTACTGTAGTGGAGTTTATTACTATGATAAACGGTTTTTGCTCATTCCCATATTATGTGTGTTTGGTTATCTAAAAAATCAGATTGCATGCATCCTTTGTGGCGCACAGCGAGTGTTTGATCCATTTATGTAAAATTACCATTTTATATTCTGTTGAAGGATTTCTACATTCTGCAATTCTAAACTTCATTTGGTGGCATGCGGTTTTCTTAATTATGAAAGTGCATGAACTTTCATTGTGGTGTTTCTACAAAGCAGTATTTCTCCTTATTCCAACTGCCAATTGGCAGTTTCGTTGGTGTCCCTTCCTTGAAAAAAAAAAAAACCTGAGTTTTTCATTTATGAAATGGATTTTGGTTTCATTGGAAGTTTGAATACATGAAAATGCATGCCCCTTCATTTTTGTTGTAAGCCAACAGTTCGCTTTTTGGAAATGAAAGTGCACACCATAGAATAATTTTGAAAAATTAGCCTTCAACGGATGGGCTTGGATGGCCGTGCAGTGTTAGTGTAACTAGATTTTGGTTCATGATGATAGTGCTTTTAGTTCAGGCATAGACAATAATAAAGTTATGCCACAAGTGCACCAGGATTATGATTGGAAACCAGTATGATGGATTCTTACAATGTGGAAGAGGTAGTGCCCATATGATGGTCTCCATGCACGTTAGTCCCTATTAATTTCTTGACATGATACCATTATACTATATATGTTCATTGGTAGATCTAATCGGAGATATAAAGCAACTATATCTTTTTTACTCATGGCATTCATAATCTACTCCTGAAGTATATGATTCGGTGTAACTGTAGATTGACCTCTGTGGGGGAATCAGATGCTTATTACCTGATCATGTGGGAAATCAGATGCTTACCTGATCATTGAGAACAAGATGCAAAGTGTTTTAGTCAAAGCACTTGGTATGTTTTGGCCCGTTAACTTCGATTTCCCAAATCGTAAAAAGGGAACTTTCCTGGATGGTGCTACAAATGGAATCGGATACCACAACAAAGGTAATCACTTTTTGGTTCTATATAGAGTCCCTTTCCCACTTTGGGAATTAATTGATACAAAGCGTTGGATATCTGGCATCATTCTCTCTTAGTTCATTCTTGGATTAGCATGGTATGCAGTTCTGAACTCTAATCAAAATTTATAAATAAAATATTTTGAAGGATGTTCATGTTACTCTATATGTGTATCTTTTGTTCGCTCTATTTAGTACTGAATTTTGGGTTGTCAAACTTCCATTTTCCTGACAACACAAATTTCTGCTAAAATCTTTTAGGATGGGGAGAAGGACCAGGCCGGTGAGATAAAGAAAGCAATAGTTGTCGGACCATGGGGAGGCAATGGAGGGACTAATTGGGATGATGGAAGTTACAATGGAGTGAGAGAAATCACCCTCAAATATGGTCGCTGTATCGACTCAATATGTGTGGTTTATGATAAGAATGGCAAGCCTGTTTCAGGAGAGAAGCATGGAGGTTCCGGCGGTAGTGGCACTACTGAGGTAACCTTTTATTTCATTTCTATTAGTTTATTTATGTGCGATATAGAGATACGGATCCAAAAGATTCAGAAAGTGTTCCAAATATTTGACACAACAAAAAGAAAAAATATCCATTTAAATGCAATTATCACCCAATTCTTTGTTAGAGCATGTTCGGGTAACCTTGAAGGTTTACTAATAAGTTAATAGGCATTTTAGTTTTAAAATAAGTGACCTTTTTACTTAAAAGTTATCCAAATATATTTTAGAAACTGAAAGTTATAAAAAGTAACTATTGCTTACTTTTTAAGCTTAGCTATAAATGCTTAGGGATGACAACGGGGCGAGTATGGGACGAGTCAGCCATTTCCACCCCCGTCCCATCGAGTATTTTTGTTATCTTATCCCATCCTCGTACTCGTTTAAAGCGGAATAGGGCGGGTTTGGGGTGGAATAGGGGCGGGGCGGGGCCCCATTTATTTATTTATTTATTTTTTTTTTTTTGTTTTATGTCTTTACTTAGTAAATATTATTATTTTTTTATCAATTTGTTATAAACAACTTATGTTCTCTTTAAAAATATGATAAATACATTATTTTTGTTTGATAAAAAATTTAAATTTAAAATTAACTTTAAAAGGGACAAGTAGCGGGACGGGAACTATGATTCCCGTACCCGCTTCGGGGCAATAACCCTCGCCCCGTCCACGTCCTGTTTAGCCGATTAGGCGGGTAACCCTCGCCTCATTCGGGGCAGGGCCCCACGGATTTCAGGTTGAACGAGTCTTTTTGCCATTCGTATAAATGCTCTTAATCTCGTGATAATTGACTCAGTCACATAATATATGAAAAACTGATCAAATATGTTGATCGGTTCTCAATTCTTATTTCCGTCTTATATAATTTAAATCATGTTTTTAAGTTCGCCCTTCTATGCTTATATGCTCCTAAGATTATAGTGAATTGATTCCAAACTTTTAAAAAGAAGCAAGTTGGTCACCACTCTCGACGATGTGAAATGTCCAAACCTCCATTAAATCGTCAGAGACATCGAATTTTATGAAGTTATGTTTTATTTTCCAAATTGGTGGTGCCTAGAGGGGTGTGATTTAATTGAGATTTCGACGGCTTCAACCATAATTGAAGGTTGATCAAATAAGTTGGGAACCTGTAATGCAATTTTCTCGGAAGTCGGAACTTAATATAATCTTAGGGGTTGTTAGACAACACTTTTGATAATGTTTTAGCATATTTTGACAAAATTGATTTAATGTGTAGTTGAAAAGTTGTGTATCCTACCAAATTGTGTAGTTAAAATCGAAGTTTGACAAGTTGAAAATTGATAAAATTTTAGCGAAAATTTATCAAACAAGTACCTAATTACTTCACTGATTCTAGATCAAGCTGCAATTTCCTGAAGAGTTCTTGACAACTGTGAGTGGACACTACTCGCCTGTGGCTCGTGGTGGCAGCCCAGTGGTCCGATCACTCACATTGAAAACCAACCGGAGAACGTTTGGGCCATTTGGAGTAGAAGAAGGAACACCATTCTCCTTTCCAATGGAGGGTGGCCAAATCGTGGGATTCAAGGGAAGGAGTGGTTGGTACTTAGATGCCATTGGGTTTCACATATCTCGACACAAAACTACCAAAGTGATGCAAAAATTTCAACAGAGGTTCAGAAGACTGACTAGTTCAGTACCTCTGGCTGTCCCTAAAGATAGTGATGAAACTCGAGTTAAAGTCATGAAGGCTCCAGCTTCGTAGGATGATGCAGAAGTCTTGTTATAGGTGTTACTACGCATACTTGTGTTGAGAATTGCGTATGGATTATATTTTCTCATCTTAATAACTTGTATTTCCATTTGTGGATACAATTCCATCTAAGAGTGTGCTTTAACGATCGAGATGAAGCTCATTTCAATGTTGAGAAGGTTTTCACTCATAAGCTGCCATATGATTTAACCCTGTTTTACATTTTTGTCCACCTTCACTATTTTGAGAGTAATACTATTCATATCTATTGGGGTCTATCACCAATTTATGTGACAGTAATTGAATAAATACTTGATTAGCTAGCATTGACAACTAAAATATAAGCTATTGAATATGATCATCTGGAGTAACACGTGTATCAACACGTAGATTCATCAAATAACTGTGAGATAAATTCACTAATCGAATCACATGAAAGTGGTAGATGGTTGGTACAGATCCACGTGAGTGGTGTTAGAACTCGAACTCTATCAGATCGATCTATTTTGTATAAAAGGAGAATTGCAAATGTATAGCTAGAAAATGTCAACGTGTGGGTTAACACGTGTATCAACATGTTGATGCATTGGGAAGTTGCCGCCTAAATTTACCAATCAAGTCACATGAAAGTGGTAGTTGGACGCAACATAAAAATAATTTTATTCACTCTCCGTGTTTTTTAAAATACCCTTTTGAATTAGTATCAAAACTTGTAACTTTTTAGTTTGATCACCGTACGAGACTTACCGAGTTAAAAGCTCGTGCGATGTGTTGTTTTGTATATTATCCTTTTGAATTAATATTAGAGCTCCATCACACTACGAGAGATACATAGTGTCAAATATAATTAATGTCCGCATGGTAACTAATTTCTTAGGTGGATAACCGTATTAGTCTAACAAATTTTCAAACACATAAACATCTCTAAAGTAATTGACCTTTCAGCTTAATCACCATACCTATTTAATCAAGTGTAAAGTACAATTAGTATCACAACTACTTTAAAGGGAGAACAAAAGAAAAAGAAGAAAAAACTAAAGAGTTCGATTGACCGTCAGCACGGCTATTCTAATTGGGCCAATTTTATTTTTTATCTTTTTACGTAGGAACTGTGGTCGCTACCCACCAGCAGAGCCCCGACCACCCTGAAGGGCGGATGGCCGACCATTGTGAGTGCGCACTAGGTAAATCCCGCTCCATGTGCAGTAGTCTGCAAACCACACAGAAGAGGTAAACCACACTAGGCAAGCCTGGTGCGACGGGCTCAACAGAGAAAGTGTTGGTATGGAATTCGAACTCATGAACTTTGTCTTAGCATTCACCTGCTCCACCAACTCGACCAAATATATTATTGTTCTAGAAATATCAGTGTACTAGTTCTCATGTTTTGACCACTACACCTCTAGTACGTGTTTCATAGGGTGAATGAGATAATACCATATATATGACCAAAGAAGGAAGAAACTTGAAGTTTCATGGGTTCTATCGTCAAGTACAATTTAATACTATGTACCAAACATACTGCATTGTTTTGTTTTACTTCTCATTAATTTCAAAAATATGCCTGTCCCTCTCTATCCCTATCCCCATCCGAGTGAGAGCCTCCTCTCTCTATGCACATGCTAATGTTGCTAAATAGAATCAGTCAAAATCTTTAAAAAGTTAGATCTCATGACCTAATGCTGTCTATGGCCATTGGTGTTTAGCACCCGCCCCGCTATCACATTGACTCGTATTAGTCACTAGTGATGATAAAAAGCAATATTCTACCAATTTTGACTATTAACCACACTACCAATTAAAGTAAAATATTAAATCAAATTTCTTTTCATTTAGTTTACTGGAAGTAACGCATAAGTCATTACATCCTACCAGGTGGAATTCCAAAAAGTGTGCGCCTTGATACCAAGTACTGTTACAATCACTCCGGATATAAATCACCTCTAAGTGGTTTAAATGATGCACACAACAAAAAGGTTAAGATGATTAACTGAACCAAAACTAGTATCGGCTAAGGTCAAATTACACAAATCCATATCGATAATCAACTCCAATTTCAAGCAATTATATCAAACCGAATTGAATCGAACCGAATACTAATTTAGCATTTAAAGTTTTAGCTACCAATGGCATCGGGGGTGGGATGCGATAAATATAGAGGAAATTACATGGGTCTAGGCATTTCAAGTTTACCGTGCAAAAATGAGGTATGAATTATATTTAATCAAAAATCAGGTAACTCCCAAACCCAAATTCATTTTTATACCTATTCTCTCTCTCTCTCTCTCTCTCTCTCTCTCTCTTCATTTCCCTCTGTTCTCGACCTCTCCCTTCTCTCTTACTTCCAGTTCCTCTCCTTTCTCTATGTCTCTTCGAACGCCGCTACCCATTCAAACGCCGGCGATGGAGCTGCTCCGGCCGACACTACGCCACAAGCGCCCGTCGTCTCCGGCGCTGCAGATCGAGTAGGAGAAGGCGGAGCGAATCAATTATTTTTTTATTTATTTGATTTCTTCGCACAGATTTGTGGAGTTGTGTGTGATTTGTGATGGTAGATGGAAA